CGTACCATATTTCAGAGCTTTGAATGTGGTGACGCAGACCTCGCAATCTCACTGGCAAGCCAGATTACACGGGGTAGGTACACCCATGCAAATGCACTCTGGGGGGGGGGCCTTCCGTCCCGGATGCGAGATTAAATCCAAGAGCAGCGATCGCAATCAAAAGGACGCGTTTGATTTTCATTGCGGGAGGTGGTGGCGTTGGGTAGGTGAGCTTGATTCAGCGAAATTCGGAATGACAGGAAATAGGCAATGCACGAAAATCGGGACCTACGCAAGAGCCATAAAAACGTACGACAAGACGCGAAAAATTGGGGAATCGTAAAAAAACACCAGTGTTCGCCTAAAAAAACACCGTTACGATGAGGCTATCCATTAACCTTGTTTAATATATCCACAAAAGGGTAAAGAAAATACCACTTTCGATTGAACTTCACTAGAAACGTTTCTAAGATAAGTCGGACCCTCCCTTTTTTGACCGGAATGCGGTCGAACACCTTCGGTCTGTCGCGGGCAAAAGAGACTTTGGATCGCATTTTTTGGGTTGTCCAACCGCCCAGGGTTGCTGGCTTACATTCATAACCTACTGGACCGGATGCACGGAAACTCCGACCAGTATGCAGCTTCATGCGAGTTTTTGCATGTCATGGACGTCCCCGCCGTTGAATCCCATCATTTCACGGCGGATGCTGAGCGCGTTTGGACATTCAATGGAGGCTTATGTGTGTCAATGGAAGCGGATGTGGTGGGTATTATGTTTAATATGTATCGCGATTATATGGGTTTAGCTCGATCGGGTTTCTCAAGAAGGTCTTTCCGTCACTTTGGCGGGATGTATGTACGAATACATAGTTCAAAGTTTTCGGCAATTACACGCACTAGCGATGCGGGAGTGTAGGAAGCTACACACCCAGGTGGCCGGAACTCGTCTAATGCAATGCATCGGGCTGCTCACCACGGCCCCATCTAGAGCTCCGCACACAGCGGTGAGACTCGTCCAACCACCGAATCATTCGACACCGGCGTTGCTATCCTGGCTTAGGTCTTTCCAGACGTCTTGTACACCATAATTTCGTATTATAGACAATCTGTTCCCCTCTCTCTCTTAAACGGACTGCAGTCTTCACTTGCGAGACGACGGCTCCTGCAACGGCGCAGATACAAGCCAAGGGCGTGACGGCAACATCTGTAGCGACGATTTCTGGACCAGTGGAGCTTGCTGCTGTTGAAACATAAGCGGCCTCGGACGAGACAGTCTTTGCAGCGGCGGTATTGGCTGCGTCGTCGCGTTTGAGAGCGAAAGGTAAGATGGTGGCGCTATGTCCAACAGCATTTACATTTTTACACACCCAAAAGTTGTCAATATGGACTATTGACGCTTTCCTTAGCATTACGTCGGCAAGGACATGTCTCCTCGGCATCATCTATGGGAGTCAACAAAAAGTAATCCAACGATGGCTTCGCGCAAAAGATATCTCGTGCAAGCAGAAAGTAGACCAACCTACGCCTTTTTATTAAATGGTGTAATCGGTCGTGCCATATCAAATCTAAAATACACACGCGACGCTAGTTAGCCGTGTTGCACAAAACCTGTCAGCAGCAGCATTACCAACCTGCTATTACTTTCTCAAGAGGAGAACAAGTATAACCATGTTATAATACTGCAATAAACGCCGATGGGAAATAGGACTGCTTGTGCCAGCGTGAATTTAAGTAGACCGGTGCCATATACTGCAGTCTCCTTAACAACACATACCATTTAGCTCCAATAACGATGGTATGTTTTCACACGGCATCGCAAGGACCTAATGCATTGTGTCAATACAAAAAGCAAGCAGCGTCGGTTTGATCGCGGACACCGTAAGTCGCATCGACACGTTTAGAAACCTTAGCATTAAGTCGATCATGGTGACCATGATCGCTCCAGGCCCCCTGCAACCATCGCCACAACATTATTAACCAGCTGTCAATTCTCGTACCTCATTTTATCTTTACGCACACCCACGTACCTGGACTCTACTAGTAGTAAAGACTTTGCACCAGCAAAAGAGTTGTTAAACTCCCAGAACGCGACACCAGCGTGGGTCGGCTCAACATCAATAAAAAACGATACATAGAAAAATACCAGCAAAGGCAATTTACACAACAAAATGTGGTTTAGTTTGTTATTCACTCAGTCATCAGCCACATCTAAAAAAGCACAATTTTTCTATCTGTCTCGCATTTCTTTGGCTATGACTCCACCGACTGCAACAGCCCGTCCCCCGTTTACTACTATTGTATACTCAGATGATTGGTGGTAATCTTTAAAGACGGCGGGAGGGACGGCCGAGAAAGAGAAGTACAGGAGCAATATCGATGAATGCGCCGTGGCACAGTCGACGTGACGGTATGCACGTGCAGCGATTGCTGAGCGTGTGCAAGGGCTAGGCCCTGAGCAGGCTATCAACAAATTGGGACTGCAGTCCGTTTAAAAGCGGAGGGTCCGACTTATCTTAGAAACGTTTCTAGCGAAGTTCAATCGAAAGCGGTATTTTCTCTACCATTTTGAGGATATATTAAACAAGGTTAATGGATAGCCTCATCGCAACGGTGTTTTTTTAGGCGAACACTGGTGTTTTTTTACGATTCCCCATCAAACCCAGGGCAACTCACTCGACCATACACTGAGAATCCAGGCCACTTCATGTGACAATTATCGTCGAAGGAACAAGTGGAACGATCAGGATTTGACCGTAATCGTTGCGGTAGAGTGCGGCCATTTTATCGCTATGAATTGCTTCTCTGCAGTAAGTGCGTGTGCAGCAAATAAACATCACTGTGAGCACCGAAGCACATACTCAATTTTCTGCCTTGACTGAATAAATGGAGAGACGTCAGCCGTACCGCGACAAGTGCGGCCAACATTATTGATATGCGGGTGGACACTGACCGGCTGACGATCACGTCTGCTGCATAGAGTCGAGAAGAAAGGGGGCGCACAGTGCCTTTTTGGGTTGGTACCACGTTGTGTCGAGTCTGTTATGTACAAGATCAACGCACGAGACTGTGGCTGGGACAATGCGCACGTCAGAACCAGGAGCGGGCGCTCGTCCGATCGTATATAGCCCAACCCTCTCTGCAACAGCTGCCGGCGTGGTGCGACAAGGTCTCAAACTTTTGGTCCACACTTTAGCCTGTTTCTCCCTTAGCTTCGAGTCCGGGCTGTCCCAATTGGCGGCAAACGTCCGACGCGGAGCCGAAGCGGGTTGGGTTCTGTCTCGTGTACGTCGCTCCTGCAGCGGACTTGGGAGTCGCGATTTCGACTGCAGGCGTCCCCGCGTTATGCATCATCGGTTCGGCGGTCGTGCAAATGGCCATTAGGGCCACCGCTCATGTGGTGGTGTGCCCTTGGAGCGCGTTGTTGCTGCGGCAACGCGCTACTGGAGTAGGCAGACCGCGCTCACGGCCGCCACCTCGGTTGCGTATGTCCGATGGTGCTTGGATGGATCGACGATGCACATTGAAGCACGCTGCATCTTGTATTGGTTACGTAAGAACTGAGTGATACGACGCCGGCGTGAGCTATACTGGTTTGGGGCTTAGTGTATATGCAATCGTCGACGACCTCTAGTGCCATGCTGTACGCATGCATCGGGTTGTCGGGGTGCGACCAAGTAATATACGCGGACACGTCCTCGTAAACTTCTGGGTCGACCGGCGCTTTATCCCTGGCTTAGCAAGATGCAGAGATCATGCGTGTAGTTGACACAGAGTCAAAAGACGATCTAAACCTCTCCCAACGGTGTGGCTTTTGCAGCCGGCTGTCACCCCTATTGTCCAGTGCACCTAATGTACCTGCCTGAGTGTAGTGCTCTGCTTGTTGCCTAGTGGCGGGTAGTATTTCCTTTCGTCCATGACGACCCGTAACCAACGTCAACGTACAAGTTGTTGGTCTTTTTGAGCTCTCCCGTCGATGATACAGTCGCGTCTTGTGCTCAGTCCGTGGCTATCTGTTACCAACGTCCTGGCTCCGAATATCGTGCCGCAGTTTATGACGAACCGCGAGCGCCTGACCTCTTTGGCAAATGGATGACCCACCCTAGCGGAACTCATGTCATGGCCCGCCAGGCCACTTTTCGTTTCTGTCATGCGATGACAGCAATAGAGGAATGCCGTTTGGCTCACGTACGCTCGATCAGAGAAACCTACTTCTCATTCAAAGTCTTTCAATCATCACTTTGACAGCCTGATGGTTTGCCCAATCTGACATTACACAACTGAAGAAGTGCAACTGCACTGTACTGAGGTCCTCACGTACGTTTTTATCTTTTGTAAAGGGCGGTACAAATACGCATCGATACGCCAAGACGCGTCGCGGGGTAGTTGCATATTATCGAGCACGCCAGGGCTGGACATTGGCGGCCGGCTCCACGTTAAACGGAGTCTTCTCCAGCGTCACGCATCGCAACTGGTCAATGTCTACACGTTGTTGACCATTGTTTTGTGAAAAGGGGCGAACCCGTTACATGCCATTTAATCGTAATATGCGTTTTTGAGAGCATCATACGCCCACGCGACCTAAATGTGCAAGAGCGATGGGCTGTTTGTTGAGGTCAATGGGCACAAGATAAGCATGTAAGCCGCGGCTACTAAAACACTGACTTGCATTATTACTACGATCTTCTTGTGCTGCATTCTTTTTTTGAAAAGACCCGACTAACGCGCAGGTTTGAAACATAACAGGCTTTTCCTCACGCGGCTCTTGGCACATAACCATCAACACACCTAGCAGCATGACCGTACGTCAGTGCAGGCGACAAGACAATATTGCTTTGACAAACATCGACCCGTCATGACACTACGTACGTGGGCCAGTATCACCGTTTCTGCAGCAAGCTCACCACGGTTGTCGTTTGTTGTCACCGTAACTTCACATCTCGAGTAATAAGCGATACACGTAGTCAACGACCACTTTGACGTTTAGCGCAAACGGTGTCCTGTGATCGCTAAACCCTAGCTGCTCAATCGGAGCGCCAACCTACATGGACTTCATCAGTGCGAAACCTAAAGCCACAGAACAGCGATAATAGACAATCAGCGTCACAAGTCCTACACAAACGGTAGAATCGCATCGTACCTTTGGGTGCACGTGGCTTCCTCAAGTGGCGTCGTTTCTCCATACTGGAACTGTAAAACCCCAGCTTGAGCGATCATCGCGCCATTATCAACGCAATAACGATGATCCATTGCGCAGACGCGGCCATTACGCCCCTTCGCCATGACGCTCATCATTTCCTGAAGACGTAAGTTACCTAGGAGCGATACCAACAGCAGCGGTGAGTTTAGCCGATCAAAAGTCAAATCAGATCTTGGCACTTCAGCACAGCTGCAGGAACTCGCAAATTTACGCACATCCCACACCACCAACAATGAGCACCTCTGACTGTCCACAGTGCGCCATTGCACGCTCCGTGATTTCCACCTAGTATAGTTGTCCAGCATATACGGTCAATGCATTTTTACATTCTAGTACAAGCAGTTTGTGCACACAATGACTACAGAACGTACAAGCATCGCAAAAATCGTCTCTTGCAACGAGTAGCACAAGTCTGCCTTCGAACATTCGCCCGACTGAATCTTGCTGCTGCACGAATGTCAAGCGACGTCAGACTGGCACAACGCAAGCATCAAGCATACATCAGCATACTCGGCCGCTTTCTCGATAAACGTCGAGATGCCCGAGAACGACACGTCCATGCCTTTCACAATATAAGGCAGCTCAATGAACTTCTTGCCTCTATACATGATTCACGACAGTCCAGACAAAATAATGTTACTTCAGCAATCAATTTCACCCAGTAGCCAAAGCGCCTACTCTCTCGCCAGCAGTTCAATGTTGTATCCGGGACTCGGGTCATTTGAGAGCTTGAGCACTCGTGCAAACCGGTCAAAGCAATTTCCTACTGCAATGTCAATCGTCTCGCCAAAGATTCGGTAGCTGCACAAAGCAAGTCATTAGCCCAAGCGCTTCGATCACCAGCCAAACGACTTTTCCAGTATAACCTCACCCCTGCATTAAGTAAGCAATGACTTACCACTGCATCGAGTAAGCAATGACTTGCGTATTGCCACCACTCACGTACAACACGACTGGATTCGTCGTTTTGGTCACTGTCCTGCCCATCTCAATGTCTGCAAAAATGACCATTCACCACCACAAAACAACAGCTTAGCAGCTTTCAATCACACGGAAGCTAGTCAAGACAAAATCCAATAGGAAACAGACAATACCGTACGTCCGACACAATGGTTGACGCCCACAAGCGGTTTCTTCCACAACAGCGACAACATGCGCGCGCAGACAGCAGCCGAGCGAAGCGGACCGCCCATGCCTGGACCTTTGGTGTAGCAGATACAGTCCAACTCTTGTGGAGAGACGTTGGCTTCGACTAATGCTGCCCGAACAATAGCCACAACGTGGTTCTGGTGGTGCCACGCTGTCTCCCGCGGCAGAAAGCCGTGGCCGGGCGGTGTGATGTACGTCTTGCGAGGGTTCGACAGGATCTCCGTCTCGCCGTTGGGTCGGCACCACAGTATACCAACCGCCAGCTTATTCGCGCTGCCTTCGATGCCCATCGCCAGCACAGGGCCGTCCTTCCGCATGCTGTTTCGCGGTTGGGAGCTGCGCAGGACGTCACGCGGTGTTTGATTGGCTAGAAAAACAAAACTGGTCTTGAGAATAGCTGAACCCGACGAAGCCGAAAATATGATTTACCGTAGGTTCTCGACAAGACCTGATGAAGCAAGTGACTGCATTGCTGCACGCAGTGGCGCTCTTCGCTCTGTGCTTGAACGCTACGACATCACGTGCAACTGCAACGTATCAAAAATGTTTGGGCCTGGAAATGGATTCGATGTTGACGACTCCGTTCTGCATGGAGCTCTTTAGCGCATGCCAGGCCGGAGTGGACGAGCTGAACCAGAAGCTCCACCTGACGGCTCTCGATGCGTTTGAGGCTGTACGTATCGTCTCTGCCAACAAATCTGAGACAGAGACAAGAAAAAGTGAAAGAGTGGGTATCGTGGTGCAACTAGCTCCTCTGTCCGACTGTCCCGCAGCTGTAGTGGCTGAAAGTATCGACAGGTGCGACGAGAGTCGATTGAGCGACGTCGTTTTTCCAACGAGGCGCAGCTCATTCAGCAGATGTTCTTCTTCTTGTTCTGCGTGCTTTTTTCTGTGGCAGAAGATGCAAGCTCACTATATCGAGAGCAGAAACATACAGCATGATGATGGTACTCGACGTCGGTGTTGGGTGGAACTTGGAGAGCTACAACCGCCACGTGCTATCAGGTACGTCACAGTCTCTTTCGAATTGACACTCGATCGAACTTGCACCTTTTAACACATCTATCATTGTTTTTAAGATATTGAAGACAACAAACAAGCACCGATGGGGTCAAGGCATAATAATGGTCGTGTCAACGGAAGCAATGGAGCTGTGGAGATCCTTGACGCCCGCGATGTCCCCTTCAAGGTTGACGTCAAGGAAGTTGTGGCTTGGACACGCATCTTCGTTACGGCGGCTTCTGTTGCCATTTTCCTAATATGCTTTGGACTTTGTTTGCATCAGCGCAGACGTTTACATTATGGCTACGTCCGAGTTCCTACTATTCGAGAAATGGCACAAGAAGCGAGACTTGCCCCACAGTCAATGGAAATTGACGGTCTAGATCGTGAGTGGAACCGTTGAGCAGCAAGTTGGCAAACTGATGATGACGATTTACGCGATCCAGAAAAATGCATCGATACGTCTACTGTCTGCTACATGTACTTGTCGATTACTTTTTGTTGAATATACCAAAGTAAACCAGCAGCACAATGGCGATTACGATAAAACCTGCTGCAACGGATACAGCCATCCTTTGGCGCTTGTTTCGGGCAGCCATTCGGCTCACGATATTTCCGCCACGACGAGCCATCTCATTCACTCCCTTCACCTTTGCGTGTGTGGCTTCAATCTTCTCACGGTTCCGGCCAAGCTCGTTGCTAATAGCAAGCGCTGTCATTATTTCCAAAACATATCGGCAAAGTTGGCATTCAGAAGACGTGCGCCCTGACGAAAAATTTGGCCGCAGAAAATACAAAGTTTGCGCACCAACTTCCTCCGTATCCGCAATCTCTTTCTTTGCGGCTGTCAGCTTGTCTGTCGTTCCCTTTATTCTGCACATTGCCGGTAGCCAATACCGCATCAGACACCCAAACTCTCCTTCCAAAACATACTGATGGCGTACTTATTTGTGGCAGCAGCTAAGCGACCGCGGTGCTCCGCAGACGCCTACATCAGCAAAACACACATGCACGATGAGGAATAGCAATCAACGCTAGCCCTGTGAATGTCGCAGCCTAATCTCTCTTACCTCCTCGCGATCGCAATCACCAAATAGCCCTTCGCGTTCCTCCTTCTCTCGGATTTTTTTGTGATCGGCCGACAGCGAGGCGAGACTTTTCTTGTACTGGCCCACCTTCTTCGATAGCTCTTGACGAGTTGCGGTGTCCAAACTTCTCACCTCGAGCTCCATCTGCTGAATCTACAGAAAGAACACACGGCAGCATTAAGCCGCATTCCTCTGCTTCTTTGTGCGTCATTAAGTTGTGTACCAGCTGTGTGGATTGAGTCAAGAGGTCGCCCACATGCACGATGCTCGCCTTCTTCTTGTCTGTCATACAGCCAGCAGCAAAAAACGCCAATCGCTCAGTGCATTTTTCGTTCTGTTGCGTGTAGACACTGCAAAGACAAACCTTTCTGGTCCTCGTACGATGCGATATCGCGCATCTTTGTGGAGATATCCGTAGAGAGAGTGCGGTACTCTTCGTCGTAGCCATCAAAGATCGTCGTCGTCATCGGCGATATGTCGGCACTGCACAATGCACGAGCGGCGTTTTCGTTCTGCCGTCGCACCGGTTATTTACAGGGTGTGCGGACAAATGTGTGTGTGGTGCACCCAATTGTACGGCCAATGTGGTCCTAAACATAGGGTCAGCGCACTTGACCGACTGACGCGGGAGACAGCAGTTCTACAGTACGCGTGTCCCCCACTCGCTGCGACTGCCACTTTCGAACGTGGGTACAAAGCGTCACGCAGCGTCGATCGATTCGGGTGGCGGACACCACACAATGCGTCACGGACAATGGCTCGCGCTTCTCCTCGCGGCAGCTCTGGCAGCTCTGGCAGCTGCCGATACTGTCGCCACGGAGCCGAAGGAGGTGGCGATTGACGTGGATGGCGACCTGCCGGTTCAAGACGAAGCCGAAGTGCTCGAAGCAGCAGACGCTGTGGACGAGACGGCCGCCGCTCCCGAGCCGAAGGTCGATCCGCGGCTGACGCTCGAGGCCATGGAGAAGCTCTTCGCCAAGATGTCGGCCCGATGCCGCCAGCAGCTGCAGGAGAACGCGCCGGACGCGCCGGAGGTGTCCGACCGCTGTCGACGGGAAGCTGCGGGTCGCATCCAGCGCTACTTGGCGCGTCTCGACAGGGAGGAACGAGGCGAGACGACGGCCGAGGAGGGAGCGACGAAGGCGGACGCGAAGCCGCAGCAGAAGAGCCGCAAGGGCAAGAAGCGAACGCGGGCGCAGCGAAAAGCTGCAGCGGCCCAGAAGAAGGAGGACGAGTACCAGAAGACGCTGCAGATCATTGTCGGCTTCGTCGTGACCTTCGTGGCCGTCATTGCCGGCGCCATGTTTGTCATCAACCGCAAGCTCAAGGCCGCTGGACTGTACTTCGCGGACCCGACTGCAAAGGCCTCGTGTTGCTGCGACTAACGAGAGGGGGGGAGACACGACGTCGCTCAGCAGGTGTGGAGCTGAAGGTGCACACGACGTGCGCTGTTTGCACTTGCTGTTGGTAGCACACGTCTATGAGAGTTTGCTAAATACCGATACTGTCTGCGCTCGTTCGTTCGCACGAGCTGCAGGTCAGACGCCTTCATCAGTGCTATCACACGACTTCGATGGAGCCATGTGCTGAGCTGTTCTTGCCCTTGTCGACCGGTGCGACAATGAGCGGCGAGATCTCACCGCGCTTGACTCCATTGCTCGCACCGGTCGGATGCACTGGATCGTAGTGCTCCGTGTGTCTCTCCGACAAGACGATGATGCCACCCACCGTCGTGACAATGCTGAGAGGGTAGATGGCCAGCTGCCACCACGCGGTCATGCCCGCGATCTCGTGGAAGAAGACCACGCCCGACACCGAGCCGATCAGAATGAGGAATGCCTGGTAGATCGCGACGAGGTAGAGCGCTTCGTACTCGCGCAGGCCTTGGTCCAGCACGAAGATGCCACTGCCTGCTGACGACAGAGCGGCTGCAATGATAGCATACGTCTCCACGTTCGACCAAACGGCTCCGCCTTCGACAACCAGCTCGATCGAGGCCTACATGCGCACGACGGCAATCAGTCGAGTCTCGGGGTTCAGTCAACTCGTGTCACGGCAGTTGTCAGCAGCGGACCGTACCTTGAGGAAGAAGAGATTGCCACCAATGAGACCCGACAGCGCACCGAACGCAAACCTTCTCCAGCCGCTCTTCTGAGGCCATCTGCAAATGACCCACGCCAACTGCGACAACCAAAAAGCATCAGCTCCGAACGTGACAGTCGATCGATCCCACGCGTACGAAACCACGCACCAGTACGGCAGTACAGCCTGCGAAAAGCGCGTACTCGACGAACAGACGGCTTCGGAACAGTGCAAAGAGCTCCGCACTGCGATGTGTCGGCGTGTCGTGACTGCCCGAGACGCCCACGAGCAGACACCCGAGCAAGATGACGGCCGTTCCTCTCACGTCTTGAGTCGACAGCTCCTCGTGCAGCAGATACGGCGACAACAGGATGTTCCACACGACGCTAAAGCCGGCCATGGGCGCCAAGATGGACTACCAGCCACACACACACACACCAGTGCAGCACCACACGTAGACAACAGTCAATCAGCAGCTCCCGTGGACGTTGCGTCGTCGCAGCGGTCGTACAAAAAGCGACGGCTCCTCTCACCTGCGCAGCGTACGCGTAACTAATGGCATCCAGCACGGGATTGAGCACGAACACGCACGCGGCGGCCGCCGTCTTGACCCATAGCGCCTGCGACGACGTGTGCGAGAGCTTCAGCAGCACTTTGCCCAGCGTGCCGAAGAGTGTGGCCGCGAGCGAGAGCGTCACGCCGACGGTCCAGAGCTGCGGAGACGCCATTCACAGTCGAAAGTGGTGGGAACGAGCAGCGGCGGCGCGCGTCGACGCGTGTGCAGAGACCGATCGGAAGAGAGAGAGAGAGAGAGAGAGCGCGACTTGTGCACGAGCGGACGTTCGACCCGACCGCTCAAGTGCCGTGGAGCCACTACCGGAGACCGCCCCAGCAGCTGTTCCGACGGACACGCGAGCGCACGAACGTGTCGCACGGTATGTTGACGAGCAAAATCGAAGTCGTCGGCTGCACACACAGCCCGTCGCACGAATCCGTTGCAGCTGTCTGATCGATTCGACGGCCGCGTGTTGGGGCACTGAGTGAAGCCGTCTGTCTGGCAACACGTTTCTCACTCGATGGACCGACGCACTGAGAGCGTGAGGCGCTGGTCCGAAAGCGCGTTTGCAACCACTTTCCAGCCGTTCGGTGCCAATCCCAAGAGCAAAGCTGAGCTGCGCAGACTTTGCATTCGACTGCGACTTTGGCGCAGGCCGAGGAACGTCGAAAGCCGATCGTAGAGGGGAACGAAAGGGGTTTGTA